AAATCAGTCGTTCGAGGACAAAAGTGTCCATGTTTGCTTGCGTGTACTATGTAGACCAGACCGGGCTAGGTTTCTGTTAATGTCGCCCCCAGGTCGCCTCACACACCCCTCTAAACGCTGCTTTGGGCTTCTGGTACACGCCCCCTCCCCCCCTTGTGATGGCCCCCAAGAATCCCAGAGTTGGAGCCCACAAATGATGAGATGGGCGCGGGCATGGGTCGGTGAGTGAGTGGGTGTCTAGGCCGAATCAAGAACTGCTATGCATGACCACACTCGGGCCATCATTACCTGATCGGGGCCCTGTCGCCGTTCCGAAGCCTGGGATCTGCCATCCCTACCCCCTGGTCCTGTCATGAAGGCTTGTGTGTTTGGGACAGGGGCTGAGGTTCGAGGTTCGAGGTTCGAGCTTCGAAATTCGAGGCTCGAGGCTCGAACAGCAACAAGGGGTTTGCACTGAAGAATGGGAAGGCGAGCGGCCGGTCGAACTTGAGACGATCCAGGACTGGACTTCGTCTTGTCTCTGTCACTGGGAGAATGCAGCTTCACAATGCACCCGCCCTCAGCCCTCAGCCCTCAGCCCTGCAGACGCTCCGACCGGATGTCTGGACCTGCCATTATGCCGACCCGCGTCGTTTGGCGCCTCGTGCTCTTCTTGCTTTAGAATCGTGAGAGGTGTCATCCAAAGTCGCGTCTTCATGACGTTTTGGCCTTCAGACGACCCATTCTGCGCCATTCTGCGCCAGTCTGCGGACTATTCCTGGCCACGCCCAACGTTGAACCTCCATGCTCATCACCGGGCGAGCCTCTCTCTCGCTCTCTCTCCAAACCCATCAGTGACGTATCATGACACTGCTTTGGGATCTGAATCGCAGTGGAAAGGTGTGCTGGGCAGCTCTTTTTAATCCTCGTGACCAGGGTCGAGATGAATTCCCCGTTCCCGTCTCAGGCCTTGCCTACCAACCACTGGTTTCCCCCGACAAACAAGGCTATTTGCCCCAACCGCGCATCGCATAATGGAGAACAATTATGTTCCGGATTCGCAACAGGGTTCGTCGGCAAGCGTGGTGCCCTGATCGCCCGGCTTGCCTTAGATTCAGGCGCAAAGCAGAGAGAGAGAGAGAGAGAGAGAGAGAAAAATGTTTCTTGCAGACGTCAGCTGGAAGGCCATGGCTAACAAGATGGCGTCCACCGTTAAACTCTCCCCCGAAGTTTCGATCGGAGAGACACATGTCGTCCGCGGGCCCCCCAATGTTGTGGAGGGGGGGCTTAATTTGCCCTGCTCCCTTCGTCGGACTGGTGCCGATACTTACCACAACGAGACAACAGTTCGTTGGTCGCGCTGCAGAATGCCGAGCCTACTGACCACTGGAGTTTTACAGCACTACCGTTTGGTCGTCTGCTAGTAGGCGGTCCGTCGCCCGTGCAGTAGTCATTTTACGTTGACACGTCCGTCACGAGCGTCGGCTGGAGTCTAGCCTTTGTCTCCTGATGATCAATGGGGGTGTGGCCGCCGCCGGCGGCCAGGACGGCGTCGACGCCCCCTAGAGGAACGGTCGGCACTGAAGCGCAGCTTTTTCGCCAGAACCAACATGGCTTGCGAGAACGGCGAGGGGCGCGGCGCCGCACACATGGAGGCGTGCTGCCCAGCTCCAGCAACCCCCTCGCCAGCAGGTACTTGTAGGCACAAAGGCTGATTTCCAATGTGATCTTCGGTCCACGATGGATTAGCCTCGAGCGCCAGGAACGGCCTTTTCTCGCCTGGGCGCCGTGGCGTGACTAGACGCCCGCCCGCCCCCTTCCCTCCCCCAGGACTGGGAACCCCAGCAGCCG